CGCTGGGGCCAGCCATATTTCTTTGCTGTAGGAGCATTCGTAGAATAGATGGTTGTGCGATTCTACTTCTGATTGCATAGCACGCAAGTCGCGCTCTGTATCTGATTCCATTGCAGCAACCTGTCCTTTGTCGGTAGTCTCCATTGGATTGCAACCCACTGCATAAAGGCGTATCTCGATACTACTTGCTTGAACCAAACAAGCTTCCACCATAACACTTCCGGCGAAGACAAAACCCCCTAATTTTCAATTTAAGATCTGAACTTTAGTTGTTATGAATATCAATATTTCAAAATATATTAAGATCGGCGTTACTTTTTTTAAAAAAAATTAGACAATATATCAAATATTTATATTTAAATATAAAAATTGAAAATTAAGGGGTTATGTGGATTTGTTTTGGAGCTCAATAAATAACAGAAAAAACAAAAATACGAAAAAAGAGCGGGAAGCTGAGAAAAGAAAAAGAAAAGCGAGGCTCACATATTGAATCCAATCCCCCTCTCCCTCTCATCCTTTCTCTCTCTCATATCGCCTTCTCAGATTAGCAAAGATCCTAAATTCGCCCATTCGAATTCTTCGAATTTTCATTTCCGAAAAAGTTGCGGGGAAGCTCTCAGCGATCTAGAATCTGATTACAGAAGCTTTTGTGTCCGAAACGAGCTTTTCTCCGTCCAGATCTGGTCTTACCGTCTCTCACAGGTTTGTTCCTGTTTTCTCCATGTTTCGCAGTTTAGGGTTTTCGTTATCGATAACTGGGTACTAATAGTGAATTATGATAATGGGGATTGAGATCTCCAGCAGTCGATTACGTTGTGTTCAGAACCGTGTTTTTTTGGGAGCATAGTTTAGATTCTGTCACGTAGCTTCATATTCTTGGGTACGAATCTGTTTACATTTGCGCCATTTTCATGTCTAACGGGTTCTGATAGTCCTGATGAACTTCAAAACATTGACATTTTCGAGGAATCTCGGTGGATGAAACATGACTACGTTGACTGATTGCTCTGTGATTTTGCCTGGACGATTGTGACTTCATTTTCATACCTCAAGTTGTCGATTTGGGTATTGCTTAACTTCAGTTGATAAGAGAAATGATGGTTGACCCCTTATCTTTTTTCTCCATCTACTGCCAGGAAACCTAACCAGAATTTATGAATCGATTGATCTTTAGTTTGTATGTTACATTTTACCTGTTGTGTTTTGGAACACTGAGTTCAATGTTCTGTTTTCGGTGAGATTATTGTATTCACTCTCTTCTTACATGACTTGTTTGCTTCATCTGGACAGGATCACGCAGGGAAAGAACACGATGAGTAAGAAAGGGAAATGGTTTTCTAACGTGAAGAAGGCTTTCAACCCAGATTCGAAGGTATTGATTTATGAAATTCTTTCCCCATATCTCTTGCTTATAAAATGTATGTCATGTTGTCAGGATTCTCGACATCTTAATAGTTGCATATTTTCAGAAATTCAAGCATAAACTGCCTCAGAACCACAATGGTGTCATCTCTGATCTTATCTTGGTGGAGACTTTCAAAGCATCTTCCCCTCATATTGAGGTGAAAGTGTCAGAGGTGATAGCTGAACAGAACAAGGAGGTGTGCTCTCCCTCATCAGATGTTGCTGCTGATATTCCTGAAGTTTCATCTCAGTCCACCTCCGAAGTTGTTCATTGTGTTGCACCTGCTAGATTTGCAGGAAAGTCGAAAGAAGAAGCAGTTGCCATCATGATTCAGATGGCATTTAGGGGCTATATGGTATGTTTTATTACTTTTAACACTTTAGCCTAATTCTCTGCAGACAAGTTGCTCACTCAAAATGTCCTTCGCTATCAATGAATACTACCAAGCTGATAGATTGTGTTAAAACATTGCCTATTTTTCATCTCCATGGAATGAATTAAACTGTCTTTACTCTTCTGCTCTTGAGATTAAAGAATCAAACACTTTTTGTTTTCATTTACCAGTTCTCCAGTCGTTTATTGACGAGTTGTTAGTTGTTCTTGGATTTGTTGGGAGTTATTCTTCGAGTTCTTTTTGCTATTTTTCTGAAACATCTCTTTATCAAGCAACCCCTTAGTTTACAACCACATTCTCATCTGCGGTTACTCAATTTCAGTCAAGAAGAGCATTGCGGGCCTTGAGGGGGCTGGTCAGAATCAAGTCACTAATGGATGGACTTGTCGTGAAACGACAAGCAGTGAATACCCTTAAATGTATGTAGACTCTCTCTCGTGTGCAGTCACAGATTCGAGTAAGGAGAATCAGAATGTCAGAAGAGAACCAGGCTCGCCAGAAGCAACTCCTTCAGAAGCATGCCAAAGAGCTCACCGATTTGAGGGTCTCTCTCTCTCTCTCTTCTCTCTCTTAAAGAATGGTCAAGTTTTCATTGGGATAGTGAAATGTCATCAACTAAACTGTCCCCTTAGCAATTGATACAATCATTTGGATTATGCTCTTGTTTAACCTTTTTTTTTTTTTCATTTTTGGTTGTGGCTACAGAATGGGGATGATTGGAATGATGGTACGCAGTCAAAGGAACAAGTTGAAGCCAATCTGCTGAGCAAATATGAGGCAGCGATGCGAAGAGAAAGGGCATTGGCGTATGCATACTCCCATCAGGTTTTTCCATATGACCTGATATACTCGTTACTCCTACTTGTATGGTTCAACCATATGTGTATCACTCGGAAAACTCAACAAACTCGGCTGTGGTAGCTGAATTTGTTGCCTCTTTTGCTCGTGGAATCCATGTCCCGTTAATTTGTTTGAATAGGAATTCAGCTGCGTTTAATTCTCATGAAATGAGCAAAACACAACGTCTTTCTGATCATACTGTCATCGTTGCAGCAAACCAGGAAGAACAATGCAAGACAGGCAAACCTGATATTGTTCATGGATCCAAGCAATCCCACTTGGGGATGAAGCTGGTTAGAGAGGCGGATGACTGGTCGGCCATGGGAGAATCCAGAGAAAGAAAACAACAACAATGGCAAGGAGAATTTATCGGTTAAGAGTGTGAATATCCGAAACAGCCCAAGAGGAGAGATCACAAAATCCGTCATCCGTAGCCAACTCAATAGTTCAACTCAACCTAATACCCCGAGGAAGAACAGTTTTCTTTCCCCTCCGATGCCATCCAGGCCAATCCTTATCCCGTCTTCACGAAAATCCGAGAACGCAAGCCGTTCTGGTCAGGACGATGACGAGAAAAACATGGTGTCAATCCAGCCTGAGAAGAACCCGAGGCACAGAATGGCAGGATCATCCATCAGAGAGGACGAGAGCCTGGCCTGCTCACCGTCCATCCTGTCCCTCCCGAGCTACATGGTTCATACTGAATCGGCACGAGGCAAGCTCAAGTCGGTGACCGATGAAAATGGCGTGGTAGTGGCGGACAGGGCATCGGCTAAGAAACGGCTATCGTACTCGGGCTCACCTGTTGTGTCCGTACAGAGGAGGTTTTCGGCCCCACCGAAGGTGGAGATCGCAGGGAGTTGAGGTGTAACTGTTGTGTACTTTCACGAATGTATTTGAAAGATTCGTCTCTGAGAATATGTCCGTATGTCCAGTACGGATGTCTGATTCATTTGTGCAGTGTAAGCGTCCGTCATTTGTTTATTTTATTATTTATTTATCGTTATTTATTTTTATTTTCAGGGTTTATGATAATTTTAAAGTTCTGTTCAACTGTAACTGGACCCTTCAGTATGAATATTTCATTTGCTGGCACATTCTCCACACACAAAAAAAATCATCAACCTCTTCGATTGATGTGTTTACTCACCAAACTTGGAAAAGGAGAAGTCTTTCTATGTTTCAGTATTGCTTACTCTCTCTTCTACTTTACGGAGAGGACCTTTGGGATGTCCAAAGAGAGCGGAGAAGATGTTTCGATGGCAATCGTCGCAGAAAAGGAAGAAGGAGAAGTGGCCTTCTCTCGGGAGCCGATGGACCGTCGCTTCCGGAATGACTCTGCTTATGTATTCCACCATTGCCGGCGGAGCAACCTCGTCATCCATCCCCTGGCACAAGCAAATCAATATTCTTATAGTTTTTGTTTCCGTTTTAGGGAAAGGCAAATAGAAAATCCGAAATTCGGATACCCATCGGACACATTGGGTCCGGTACCCGAATTCATTACCCCAAGCACTATATGAGATGATATCGGGTTACAACGAGAGGAAAACCTGAAAATTGGGTTCGGGTAATTGTTTTTTAGATCGGTATTTTTACCTGCCGATAACCGAATGAACACTAAAGTGGTGTTTTTACCCCTAGTTTATAGAGATATTACATACAATCTTATAAAATTTCAAACCAAGTCAATATATGATATATATTTTGAAAGAAAAGCGAAACTTTGTATTTAAACTCAAGTTTGGATATCTACGGTTATCCAAAAATTATCTTGGATATCTGACTTTCGGGTGCTAGAAGAGACTGGGTAACACCTCATAAAACTCGAGATAACCCAAAAGTCTCGGATACGTGGCCCGTACCTGCTCCTATTTTCCAATGATATTGTGTTAAACAAAGAAGAGATGGAGAGAGGAGAGCAGTGTTTCGGACAAACCTGCCAGATGTGAATGGGTTTTTGGAATCCGGTGAGCTCACATTCGTCTTCGCTGTAAATGGACATTAGCCAAGAGAGGAAGCCATTTTTCCTACACTTCTTCTGAACTCGGAATTCGGACAGGCTAAAGCCCCAGTCCGATACCTGCATCTTGGCTTCTTCAACAAATGGTTTGGCACTTCCCTGTCGGACAGATTCCTCCACATTCCTTTGGTAAAACTCCTCAAAAGCTGGACCTTTGACAACAAGTTTATCCTGAAAAAAAGACAGTAGCTTTGTGGTTTAGCTCTGTTTCCCATACGAAAATCTGTTTTTATACTGTAATGAAATTGATTATTAGTTAGGACCCTCGATGAGAATAGACTTACTCTCTCTCCTAATGATATAGACATCCACTTATCCAGCTGCTCGAGCTTGCCGGAGAGAAAGGACCTACGATAGAAGAAGGGAAGGAAGCTCGGCACCCGGTGTGCTAAAAAGTACATAAATTTCTTCTTCGGTAGCCATTGCCCCCATGTTTTTGCCGTTTCTTCATTGGTGAAGCCTGGCTCGTACGGATTGATCACTGGAGCCACCATTGCTGCACCTGTAATGATATTTATTCAGGTTCTCCATAAAAGTGAATGCAAGATATGCAAAGCACTGTGGGAATGATTAGCAATACCGGCTATTCTGTCAGGAAAGTATCTCATGGCAGCCCAGGCATGCATGCTACCACTGGAGTAACCCAGTACCCAGATGTTGTCGCCGATTCTGATGGCATCAGCCAGGTTAATCATATCGGAGGCTGACGAGCTAAGGTTCCGACCTGGATGAGGGTCACTCTCTCCAAACCCAGGAAGATCATATGCCACTAACCGGACACCAAATTCTTCTAGCAATGATCTTTTCATTCCGGGTATTCCTTGATTAAGTAAATTACTCAAAAGCGTAAGAGGCAAGAATCTATATGGTTTATAAACAGATTCACAAGAGATAACAGCATCATGAAAAGTAATGGAAACAAATGTGGATTTGTTTTCTACCTACCTGCAAGTCGAGAGGAAAGAAAAGAATGAGGAACGATGAGAGAGTATCTAGCTCTGTCAGCTGAAACACCGAGCTCCTGGTAAGCTAAGTATCTACCGTCTGGAAGCTGTACACGGCTTGCACCAGGAGGATGCAAGCAGATTTTCTTGATCACCGGGACTGATCTATCGCGTTCCGCACTAAAACCTAGTGCTGCAATTCAATGTTGAATGTCAGTAAAATGACACCATTGTTCAATAAGTAAATTGAAAGAAGTGTAAATGATGTAGACAATTGATACAAGCTTCATCAATGAACACCTCTGGTTAATTGAAAACGCAAAAGCTGGAACCCAGAGATTGAACAATTCTAGTAATTTCTTAAAGATCCAGTTCTTATGGCGAGCATTCTAGACATTGATTTATCTGAAATTTTGAATGCATATATGACACAAACCCAGGAATGGAACCAGATGCAAAACCACAGGCTATATATGTCTTTACCTGTAAGAGCAAGGAGGAAGACGAAGAAAATCACAGGCCAGGCATGAACAGGATCACGATCCTCAGGCAAGAACTCGTTCAAAAACCTTAGCTTCTTCTTAACCTTAGCCGCCGGTTTACTGAGCTTCTGCATCACGAACGATTCCTCATTCACCACCGTCTGCTGCAATATGTCTTTGCATCCCTTCCCCAGGTCCAGAAGCATCTCTCCCCATGACTTCATGAACCCAGCCATTTGATCCTTCAAGCTCTCCACTGGTTGGGATCCATCCACCGAACCGAAACCCGATCTCTTTGATCCGGATTCCGCCGCCAACTGGCCTAACCGAGCTCCGTCGTATTGTAACGCGGTGTCAACGAGACTCGCTAACTCGTCCTGCCACGTGGGAACACCTCCTCTCATTTCCTCCATCTTCAACCTCGCGATCTCAGCACCATCAACAACCTCGGCGAATACAAATTCCCATCTGAATCCGAACCCCAAGCAACTGTTCACTGCAGCATCTGTAGACAGTGCTATGAGCTGAGAGAGAGAGAGAGCAGCGAGAAAGAGCTCCCACTGACACCTTTACCAGCGTGGAATTCAAGCTCGCCATTGTTTAAGGTCTATCTCTCAATAAAAGAAACCGCAAACTAACAATTTCCAAAACGAATCACAATCTCACTTTTGCGAAAGAGCAAAGAAAAAAGGTGAAAGAAGAAAAAAGATTCTCTAACCATATGACTCAGGAACAGCTTGATGCTGATTACGGTCCAACCGAATCTGCGATTTATTCTTCACGTAAACTTTATCATACTCTTCTTTTTTTTATTCTCCTTCGCTTTCTCGATTGAACTGCTTGACGAAAATCCAATCCGCCATTGACGAGCTTCTGGAGCTTCTCTCCCCCTTTGGATTCCAACAGGCTCAGTAGAGCGGCGAATAACTAATAACAACCGTAGGATCGGGATCTTATCAGTTTAAGATGGACGGACATGATTCATCCACGTGTGTCGACAGATGTATGTCGTGGTTATTAATGGTTCAGTGGGGACCGGATGAGCCGGTGCGTGTCGCCTGGGGGTGTTGGCGACCGGCGTCATCTTTGGTGCGCCTTTTTTACCTGCTACTGCCGGTTTCTCGCAATCGGGGTTGCTGACGTGGCGGCGGCCTAGTCAGTGCACGTGACTCGGATTAGGTCAGGGGTTGGTATTCGCTCTCTCGGGCTTATGTACTTAAGCGATCGCGGCCGTCCATTCTTTTTAGATAATTCCTTGGTACAATCCAACGGTGTATAAGCCACTTGCTCTGGATGATAAATAGATCTCTTTAATTGTGAAAAAAACCCATACGGTTATCTGTCGGTCTTAAAACATTTATTTCCATTAGACTATTTGATTATGGACCATACCATTAGAGGGGCAGTGCAGATCACGCGCTATGTACGCGCGTAGGAATACGTTGATTAAACCCATTTGTTATTGTACGGTTGACGGTAAGCCCATGAACTTAATTCAAATGATTATTTCTAATGAAACAAATTCATTCATTTTCTTAGGGGATTTCATAAAAACAAAATGCTCAACTAGATATGGTTTATTCCAGATGAATTTGCTAGTTTATTCCAAATCAACATATAAACTTAAATTATCAATAATAAAACACAAAATATATGATTAACTTTCAAACAAAACAACAAAATTTTATAATTTTAATTAATAAATAAACAGTCAATAATGATGTGAACAAGATAACATGACCTTGGCTTATTTGGATTTGAGATTGGATTCAATTAATTTGGTTTTTTAAAAAATATAACGTGTTTGATTTTATATTGAATTCGCTTTAGTTATATTCAGTTCCGATTTAGTTCGATTCTGATTTAAAAAAATTATTTTCTTATAAGATGTATCAATTTTCAATTATTAATTTTTTTTATTTAGTTCGGTTCTATTTGAATTTTTTTTAATTTTAAAAAAAAATTATAAACCCGTTCGTTTTTAAACCTTGAGTCAAGGTTTTACCATTGGGCCATCAGGATCCAATAAGATGCTAAATGGTCGAGGCTTCCTCGTCATGGTATAAATACTTGTCCGGTTAGGGCTTCTTTTAGTCTCAGCTCTCTGCTTCTTCGCACTCTCTCTTCCGTGGCTGAGCTCTATCTTTCGCAAACATGGGGTACGCATCTCTCTCTCTCTCTGATCTCCGACCTTCGACCCTTGTTTTCTGTTTTCACGGCAATCTCTTTGTTCTTCTCTTCATGTTTCGGTGAAAAGGGATAGTGGATTTCGTACCGATCTGTTCTCTTAGAGAGATGGTTCGTATTGTATCGATTTTCCTGTGAATCGTTAGATTCTCTCGGTTTCCGATTCTCCCTGAGTTTCGTTTCGGCTAGAGAATTTTGTTATGCGGTCACATTTAGAAATCTTTGGTCTTACGTTTTGAGCTGTAAAGAGCTACGGTGGGGTTCTCTTATCGCTTTTGTATGTCGTTCGTGTTGGTGTCGGAAGGTCTTATATTTAAGTATTTATACGATGTTTTATTGCTTTTGAATTCAACAAATATGGGATCTTTTAGGGTTTATTGATTCTGTTGTGCTGTAGTTCGATGATCCCATTTTACTTGAATGTTTACAAAGTGCAACAGTGTTTCTTGAACCGCTTGTTTAGTTGCTTTTGTCGGAAAATTCCTCACGGGCAATGGTAGCCAACTGATGGAGTGCTTCCAAATAGAAGTAATGGTATGTTTGTCTGCTTTCATTTGTATGGTATACCCTGTTTTCGATTTAAGTATTTGGTTGGTAGTAAAGTGTCTTGTTTGAACATGTTCCTTTCAATCATGATGGTTATTCTGATCGTGTAATGCATCGAAGCGATTGATGATTCTTGTTCTTTGTTTTTGTAATATTTGATTTTCTCAGGAAGACACGGGGTATGGGAGCTGCCCGCAAGCTGCGAAACCACCGCAGAAGGCAGAGGTGGGCCGATAAGTCTTACAAGAAGTCTCACCTCGGGAACGAATGGAAGAAACCCTTTGCCGGGTCTTCACACGCAAAGGGAATCGTCCTCGAGAAGATGTAAGGAAGGCTTCATATGCAAACCCTTTTCCTCTGAATTCTTATCGAGCTTGAAATGCATACATCAGCATGGTTAATGGTGTGTGATATATATATGCGCAGTGGTATTGAGGCTAAGCAGCCGAACTCTGCCATCAGAAAGTGTGCTAGGGTTCAACTGATCAAGAACGGGAAGAAGATTGCAGCTTTTGTCCCGAACGATGGGTGCTTGAACTATATAGAAGAAAACGTGAGTTTGATGGAATGAATGAATGGAAAAAGCTCGATGCTTTTGTTTCTTGCTGATGGAAAAAAATGTTGTGGGCAGGATGAGGTGTTGATTGCAGGGTTTGGTCGTAAGGGTCATGCCGTCGGAGATATTCCCGGTGTCAGGTTCAAGGTGGTGAAGGTCTCTGGTGTTTCCCTCTTGGCTCTCTTCAAAGAGAAGAAAGAGAAGCCTCGCTCTTAAATTAGAACCCTTTCTCTGAAAGAGAAGGTTTTGTTTTGGATTTACTAATGATCCATTTTTTAAATATCACATAATTCTCTCTCCTTTGTCAAATTAATGTTTCTAAAATTCCTTCCAAAGGATTTGTTGCACATTTCAATGTAGGATTGAAAGTGACTCTTGGGATTTTAAAATTTTAATTGGAAATCAAATCCTAGCGAAATCTATCACATTTTTTACACAACAAAAATGCAGCAAACAAAACCCGGGTAAAAGCCAAATCTATTTCCTAAATCAAATTTGGCAAAATACGGAATCAAAACCAAAACCTGAATTATCCAAGGCTAATTATCAAAATCTAATTTTCATTTGGTATTCATGTAACAAAATGATTCTAAAATCAAACCAAGTGCAGACAACCAATTCAAATTTGATACAATTTCTATAGAATCAAATAAAACCCTAACAAAAACAGTGAAAACAATTTTGGTTCATAGTTCCACTTTGATAAGCCATATATCCCCTTTTGAAACAGCTCCCAAAACATGGCACGGAACATGAAGAAGCTAAATAAATCTCTCAGATTATCCAAAAGGAGAGTGAAAGATCAAAAGAAAGACATCTGAGAACAAAAATCCTTCCTACTGACTAACGCCAAGCCACTTGGAGAAGTTATCAAACTCGGTGTAATCACTGTCCGATATCATTGTCTGGTACCATGCTTTCCCTGCCGCTCTTATTGCCGCCGCCTCCTCCTTTAGTAAGATATTCCAATGACCAGACAACGTCAACATATGAGATCGAATTCAGATTACAAACGAGAAATGAATTGAATCTACCAGATGGTGGGCATAACATATCAATCAGCAATACGGTAAACGGAGAAACAGAGGGAAAAAAGGGGAAATGGCGTATACCTTAGAGATGGGCTTCCTCTTCTTGTCGAGCTTCTCCTTCTTCGCCTTAACCCTCTGAGCTTCCGCCAACAGAGACATTCTCCTCGCGGTCTTGGCGTAAGGATTGAGTTTCAGCATCACGTTCAGGTTCTTCAGCGGATTCTTCTTGAGCACAGCCCTCTTCACATCCTTCTTGATCGGCTTCACCACGCTCTGGACCTCGTCCGAGTTGATGATCCTAGCAAGATCTGCATTCGCCATCTTCGGACGCGGTAGAACGTACCCCTTCTTCTTCTCAGATGGCTTGTCGAATGAACCGTAGATCGATTCCAGCTTCTCGAAAGCTGATTTGGTCCAGATCACGAACCTGCCCAAGTGACCACCAGGAGCGAGCTTGAGCAAGTTCAGCCTCTCGACATTGCACACATCGACACCAGGAATGTTCCTGAATGCCTTCACGAGCTTCGCGCCCTCTGTCCCGTACACAATCAGAGGACCTTTCCGGGAGATGTAACGGCAGTTCCTCATTTTACCTTTACCAGGGCGGATACCGAGGCTGTCCTTCGCTTTCTCGGCGTCGGCGAAAGCACCGATCTGCTTCAACATCTTGATTGCGGCAGAGGTCTTCTCCACGGCCTCGACGGAGTCACTGACAACCAATGGCATCTCCGGCACGCTCTCGATCCGGTGACCACGAGCCATCACCAGCGATGGGATCGCTGTGGCGGGGATGGCCGAGACGATGGCGTACCTCTTCATATTGACATTGACACGGCGGTGCCATCGGCGCCAAATTTTCGTCGGAGCGAACATCCGACCACCTCGGCACATATTCCCGAATGCTCCCTGACCGGCTCGGTGAGTACCACCACCGGGAACACGAGGGATACGCGACACGGCACGTCCCGTACCCCATGACTCGGCGGAAGTCTGGTGACCAGCGCGCTTGGAGACGGCGTAAGGTTGACGGCTGTTATTGGAGATTTGGGCGTGGACGAAGTTGACGACGTCGGGACGAACCGGAGCCTTCATAACGTCCGGCAAGGGGATGGTGGCGACCTGATCGGTGCTCATGTCACCGTCGACATGTTGGACGGTGACCGAAGGACGGGCAGCGGCTACGGCGGCGACCATTTCTGCAGACCTGAGAAAATCGCGAATCCTACCTAGGGTTTTCGCTATCAACGAGATGCAAGAGTGTGATTTGAAGGGGGGGTATTTCTAGGGTTTTTCTCTTAATAAAAAGCAATAATATTAATCTAAGCCCATATATTTGAAGTGGGCCCAACTAAGCCCAATATTAATCTTTTGATTAAACTTCCATATCACAATTTTGGCTCTCATTTCAACCAGATATTTTTAATTAATTAAACCACCAATTTTAAAGTTTTATTCCATAATTTTTTGTGTAATCAACTGAGACTTCGACATAATATGCCGCAGACGTTACACCTCTTCATATTGACATTGACACGGCGGTGCCATCGGCGCCAAATTTTCGTCGGAGCGAACATCCGACCACCTCGGCACATATTCCCGAATGCTCCCTGACCGGCTCGGTGAGTACCACCACCGGGAACACGAGGGATACGCGACACGGCACGTCCCGTACCCCATGACTCGGCGGAAGTCTGGTGACCAGCGCGCTTGGAGACGGCGTAAGGTTGACGGCTGTTATTGGAGATTTGGGCGTGGACGAAGTTGACGACGTCGGGACGAACCGGAGCCTTCATAACGTCCGGCAAGGGGATGGTGGCGACCTGATCGGTGCTCATGTCACCGTCGACATGTTGGACGGTGACCGAAGGACGGGCAGCGGCTACGGCGGCGACCATTTCTGCAGACCTGAGAAAATCGCGAATCCTACCTAGGGTTTTCGCTATCAACGAGATGCAAGAGTGTGATTTGAAGGGGGGGTATTTCTAGGGTTTTTCTCTTAATAAAAAGCAATAATATTAATCTAAGCCCATATATTTGAAGTGGGCCCAACTAAGCCCAATATTAATCTTTTGATTAAACTTCCATATCACAATTTTGGCTCTCATTTCAACCAGATATTTTTAATTAATTAAACCACCAATTTTAAAGTTTTATTCCATAATTTTTTGTGTAATCAACTGAGACTTCGACATAATATGCCGCAGACGTTACATATACGTTGGTTGATGGTTATTTATCATATACATAATTGTCAATAAAATAACACGCACATACAGTATACATTTTATCAAAGGAACTGTCTTTTTTAAATAACGACATCGAATATAACCGAACCGAAACTAGAAATGGCCACCCCTATGCTTCCCCATCCTTCCGTTGTCTTGGTTTCTTCCGATGGAACATTCTATTCTATAGATACACCAAACCAAATATTCTCTGCCTCTTGGGGAGCTAAGACTACAAACTTAACAACACAAGTGTATGTCTTTTCTATTATCCCATCACAGATTCAAACTTCAAAGGGTCGGAACTCAACTCAAATCGTGGCGAGAAACGATCCACATGAGATGTGAAATCTAAATCCTAGGTAATCAAGATGGGATTCAAAGTCTAGAAGAGTGGCAACTAGCTTTACCTTACATGGAGTTTCCATTCAAGAAAAAAAAAACACAGGCTCAAGGAGACATTTATGGAGGCAGAACCAGTAACAAGATCAATCCTCATCATCCGAACTCGCCTCATCGCTACTGTAATCGCTGCTATCATCGTCTTCCAAAATGTCGAGCTGAACTGGTCGAACCTGTATAACCTCAGGCGCCCGATGCAGCCCTGGAGGAGGCCTAGGCACGAGGGGCTGTTGCTCATCACCTCTAGCCGCAGGGATCGACTCCAATGGCGGCAATACAACCGGGTCCCCAGGTTTCCATCCGGGAGGCGGCATAGGCAAATCTTTCGGCAATTCCACCGGCATCCCAGGTTTCCATCCCGACGGAACCGCGATATTCGGTGGAAGCAGACCCTGAATGGCTGAGATATCCACCGGACCACTAGGCCGAGGCGGTTCCATAAGAGCCTCCACTTTCTTCTCATCACTCTCCGTCGATTTGGGAATGCCCACATCGAGATCAGCGAAGTTATACAGCTGAGAAGCTCTCATTTGCTCATCCTGAGGAGCCGGGGGCAACGCACCACGGAGAGGTGCTTGCCCAGCGCCAAATTCCGGCGGAGCAAACGTAGTGTAGCTAATCCTGTGAGCGTAAGACAATATGTCCTTCAGCTTCAACTGAGAAGCAACAGTGGTGTTAACAGAGGATGAGGACTCATCGTCATCTTCCTCCTCCCGCGACTCATCTCCTGTCCTGGCTTGTTTCGGCCGGCGATAATCGGAGTAATCATCTACGAGCATGTCCAGAACTCGTTCCGCTTCCTTGAGCTTGTTGGCGAAGGCGAGGAGGGAAGCATCCTTGGATTTGATCTCACGCGCCACCTTCTGTTTCGCGTCCTGGAGATCGAGGATCTCCTGGAGCTCCGTCACGGCCTCGAAGAGCTGGGTCTGCAGGGAATTGAAGAGAGAGAGGATCTCCTTGGTGGAAGAAGGGTTAGGGTTTTCCAGCGGCGGAGGCGGCTGGAGCGAGTGCGAGGAGAGGAACGAAGGGAGAGAACCGCGGAAGGCGGAGAGCCAAAGAGAACGATTGGGGGAGACGTCGAAGAGCTTGGAAGCCAAAACCGCCATCTGCTGGAGAAGAGCCTGAGCTCGGGGCAGCGGAGGGAGGAGAGGGAGGAGAGAGGCGGAGGAGATGGTCGCCGCCGCCGACGCCGGGGAAGCAAAGGCGGAGGGAGGGAGATTGGATGGAGGCGGGATCTGGTGGTGCTGAGATTGAGAGGATGAAGAAGAGGTGGGATGGCGAGGAGGGGTAGGATTTTGGACGGAGGGAGAAGCAGGGCTCGTTAACCCTAATCTCGCCGGAGATTGAACTATCTGATGCTGCAACATCTCTGCCGATCAGAGAAATCAAAAGGCACCCGAGTCCCGACGACGGTAGATCGAAATCCAAGGAAACGAGCAAGCCACAATCTGAGTCGAAGAACGGTCTACAGGAGACGTGAGAAGAAATCTTCACTGAGAGGGATGACTCACGGCTGCAGGAGGAGAAATAGCGGCCATGGGAGGAGGGGATTACGAGAGAGAGAAAGGATGCAGACTTACAGAGGGTTACGGCGTGAAAAACCCGGTTAAGTCAGACCCGCGTATCAATGGAAACAATGACCCGATCCGGTCCAGACCGGTCCGGCCCGTCACGGAAAGGTCGTGCTTTGGGTATTATACACACACAAAAATGGACGCTAGTACCTCAGATTCGACCCGTCTTCTTTACCGACTCGACTTCTGAAGGGCGAAATACCTCAAAGGTCTCTCTCTTCAAGCGCCTGTCTTTGAACGGAGAAACGGTTTCCATGGCGAGCAACGACGATACGGTCACGGTCACGGCGGAGAACGGCGGAGAATTTTCCTCCGGTGGAAACCCTAAGAAGATGGTGGATCTCAATTCGGCGGAATCAGATCTTGTCGAGGACGCTTCCGTCACCGAGGCCGTAGCGGTATCAGCATCGGGAGGTGAAAAGAAGGACGGAGATGTGGCGAAGGTTTGCGAAGCCTTGGCTGGCGCAAGTTCCGGGGATAAATCCCCCGTCAATAATATCCAGAAGAAGATCCGACGTGCTGAGAGGTTCGGTTTGCCTGTGCAGCTTACGGAGGAAGAGAAACGGAATTCTCGCGCAGAGAGGTTAGTGGAATAGTTCCGGATTCTCCTATTCTCGATTTTTTTTTTCTGGTTTGCTATTTTGGGTCGCATTTTGAGGTCTGTGGAGAGCTAGGACTTTCTGTGTTTCAGTAGAAGTGATTGCCTGCTCGCTGTTTTAGAATTATGCTATTGCGAGAGAAACACGAGCATATTGTATGGGAGGATTGAGCATTGCTATTGTCGCCTGTTTGGCAAACTTATGACGGCGATATTGGAACTTATTTTGAGCTTCTGATGCAGATTTGGAACCGCAACTGTTGTGAATGACTCAGAGCCATCGAAGAAAGCTGAGGAGCTGAAGCGAAAAGCTAGGGCTGAGAGGTTTTGCGACCATGCTACCTTTTTTTTATTACAATCTTTCTCATCGTAATTACATAGCATTGAAGTTGAACATATCGGTGGTTTTGCTCGTTCTTTTTCGATTACAAAGTAAAGAATTTTACCCTCATGTTATGTTTCTCATAGGTTTGGGCTTCCTGTATCGTCTGCACCCTCTGTTGGAGCAGCAAAGAAGAAAGCTAGGATGGCCAGATTTGGAGCAGATACCAAAACTGATTCTGCTGAAGAAGAGAAACGTAAAGCTAGAGCATTAAGGTACTTTTTCATGTAATCAATAATCTGTTATCCTATATACTGATCGTGTAGCTCATCCGAATAGCAAGCCAAGGCTTTTACTCTTGTGGGTAGCTGATCTTTTAATCGGTTCGCTTTCCTATCTTCAGGTTTTCTAAACCTTTATCAAACTCATCTTCAGATGCATCTGGGAAGCCAAATATTGGCAATGTAAGCACCTTTGACATGTCGTGCTTTGCTCGGAAAAACTAATATGTTCAACTCTTGATTCATTTTTTTATCTTTTGCATTAGGAGGCAGCTGTATCAGGAAATGCTGCTTGAGGTGCCTGAATAAAGTTTCTTTTTTTTTTGGGTAGTTAGGTGGGTTTTAAGAAGTGATTTTGACTGAACAGCGATATTCGGATTCACAGTCTGTTTTAATCATCTTGACTCCATGATCTTCTGGATTTGACAGGTAGCGTAATAACATATCGTGGTTCCCTCTCTGGCTGCTTCATCCTCATCTCATTTCTGACGTAGAAGCTCCTGCAAGTAGTAATGTCCATATTAAAGGTTAAATCATGCCATGGAGCAATCTGGAGGTGATTCTCTCAAGTTGGCTGAGGTTACGTTATCACCAGATGAGATTTTGGGGAATCAACAAGTTCCTTTTAGTTCTAATAGTCTAAGAAAAGCAATTAGTAATGGGTCTAGGAATTCTGAAGCAGCAGCAATTCAAATCATATACCTCAACGTTTCCATGTTGATGCAGGTGCTTGAAGGTGGTAAGTTTGAGCTGGTAACTGCTACATTTGTCTCATTGTCATGTCATCCGTTCATGTCATCGGTCATATTCGTGCATTTTTAGTAATAGATAATTGTGTGTGCATTCGGTATTTGCAAAGTTGCAGGAGAAAATCAACCAAAGAATTGAAAATACGGTAGAACGGAATCTTATGGTACCCATAGTTAGCTTGTTGAGCTATTTACGAGCAGAAATTGTTGATGTCGTCAGGGTTTGTTTCCCTTTGTCTTCGAAATGTGTTCTATAAAGCCATGCTAAGAGATCCCACGTGCTTGTTCACAAAAATTGCATGTGCATTAGAGGTCACAAGCTGCTGCTGCTGCTTCAGAATTCCAATGTTGTTTCTTAGACAAATCATATTAGCAATGAAAGGGGTTTACTTGTTGATTTCCTTCTCTCTGGTGCCGTCGTCCGTTGGGGGGAGAGACGGAGCTCCAGTGGCGTGGGAGACTTTTATTGGCTCTTAGCTATAAGCGAAGGGTTCTCAATGTTCTTGAAAGACTCTTGTATCGGATTGTGGCCGGATGGGGGAACGTAACATTTAGTTTTATTTGTAGTTTCGTTATAATTGTTCATTACGACTACATCTTCATCCTCATTCCTTATGATATGGGGCTTTTTTTCATGTTGAAAATTTCAATTATAATGCTTCCTACAAAACAGAGATTGACTTCTTATATATGTGAAGGATGAAAAAAAATGGCCACAATAATAAAAAGATGAAAGATGTGCCAAAAGCAAGATACAGCTCCAAGACCGAACTAAAAGACGATCGCAGAAGGGTAAATCTTTCCAGAGGAGACAGATCGTGGTGATTCATCCAACTTTCTTCTTCGAGAGCTAAGCCCGCTCATAGGCTTATGAACAGATCATTTAACGAGGCAACGCGATTCTCAGTGCAATCACACCCAGAAACCCTTCTTCCACACACATGCCCTCTTACAAATCCCTAAAAAAGATTGAAGCTTTTGACGATGGGCATGCAAAAATCCCTCACACTCTCGCTGATTCTGATGACAACAGACGAAAATTGAAGAATACCAGACCGAAATTACCGAACCGCAGAGAACAAACGTCGGCTGAAAACTAACGATGCGTACCATTTTCGAGTCAGAATCTCACTCAGGGGGCGACCGCCGTCGGCTTATCGGAATGCGAACCGCAACGGAAGAGCCCTAGACGACTAGAACTTGGGATCTTTTCACTCCCAAAACCCACAATTCAATCTCAGCCCAATAGGCAATAGATTCATAAAAGGCCCATTTAATTTTGCTACCAAAGTAAAAAGCCCTTAGCGTGAAAAGATGAGCGACACGCACGGAATCTATTTACATGAACATGCTATGTATGTGGATTATTAGGTTCCAAAGGCAAAGTCAGAGTTCTGGATCTCAGAAAGAACAAACCCCTGTTTACGATTGATGATGAAGTAATTGGAACGAATGATACTACACTGCACAGCGAGTTGGTGTTTCTGTTAGCAACCTTGATCTGGTGGCTTAGATGAGGTCATTCACGAGATCTTAGAGAATGAAACAGTGGATTTTCTAGCTTACCAAATAACAAAAGAATGCAAATATTAAGCCCAAAAGCAGAAACGGATTAAACACAAAACATCTGAAGCAATATATATAAGGCTTAATCCAAAGTTGAAACCAGACAATATAATTCATGCAAGCAGACCAAGTCGGAGGTTCAAGGGGAGAAAAAAAACATTACAGTTCTAGAAACCATCACAACTCATCGAAACCACAGTTGGACATGGTGTGTCAGAAGATTTGCTCCTCACTGATAATCGTCCTCCACCGGGCTGCGGTCCTCTCTCGGGCTGGGGCTACGGCTGTGGTCCCGTCCGTTGGCTCCATTGGCGGCATCATCGTTGCCTCTTCCGGGGCTTGAAGGGCTCTGCCCGTTCTCTCGAGGACTGTACTTTTCGCCCGGGCTGCCTCCCTCGGGAGTTGGGCTACGCTTCCTGTCCTTGGGTGGTGGCGAGTTGTTGGTCACTGGCTCGGGACTTCTGGTTCTCTCAACGGGTTCGGGGCTCCTTTCTCTCCTAACCGGGGATCTTGAACGACTGGGAAACCAAATGAGGAAGAAACTGAGTCAGACCCGCGAAAACGGGTGATAGTATACATCAGTTGGTATGATAACAAGAAGAGTAAGACCTGTAGCTCCGGCCACGGCTGTAGCTTCTGCTCCTGCTTCTGCTTCTGCTCCTGGTGCGGCTTCTTCTACGACGAGGAGGAGAACGAGACCTAACAGGTGATCTTGAGTAACTTTGGTCCCGCCTGAAATTCGACCAAAACACAGTGAGCAGTCCATGTAAGAAAATCAAGAACCTCCATTCTAGATCGGTGCAGTGATCGAAGGATGATACCTAAGCTTCTTGGGACTATTCTTGCAATTCCTCTCGATGTGACCTCTCTCTCCACAGCGGTAACACTTGTTCTTCCAGTCACCAGCCGTGCAATCTCGGGCCCAGTGGCCATCAACACCGCAGTTGAAGCAACGGCCTGTTCCTGGAGGAGGGCCTCTGCTCGAATATTCTCGGGAACCACGAGGTGTCTATAACGATAAAACCCCAAGCGAGCAAATGAGAGACATTACTCGAAGATTTATAATTAACATAAAGCAGATCTACCATTGTAGGACTTTATAAAGAAGCTTAGCTTTACCCCTCTGGCGAATTCCACAATGATACGGCTTCCGTCAAAATCCCTTCCATCCAATCGATGCCTAGCATCATCAGCATCTCGAGGATCGCTAAAATCCTGGGATGAAAAGGTGAACACAGAAATCCAAACAGAAGAGAGACGTACATCGGGAGACAGTTAAACAAACCGGTTATGAAAAAGGAAGTTCTAAGGACCAAGCTTGTCTTTAAAATAGAAGAAGCTAAGTGGGCAGTACTACTTACGACAAAGGCATAGTCACGCTTCATATCCACATCTCGTACTCTGCGGAAATGGTTGCCATTGAAACAGTAAGGCCATCGTTACTTTAAGTACTGCTACTGCAGCTAGTGTATGATACTTCACCATCACAGCGAACAAAACACCAGATTGAGATTTGTTGCCATTTCACCATTAAAACACGCAATAACATTACAAACAGAACCGCCAAAGTCCCCCTATACACCATGAAAGAATTTCCACCAAGGGGACCATCTCACCATAAACCGCCAGTTCAGGCAATAGCCAAGAAACCTTCAACAAGATCATTCGAGTTAAAATACGGTACACTTTGGGCCAGATCACTCCCACCCATATAATTTAACGAATATAGAATAACTCAAATATTCAACCATAATCCAGGCCTAGTTTAGTCCTGGAAGGCAGCCAGCATACCATGACTCGAGGAAAATTCAGTAACCAGACATGTTAATTGAAAAAGCAAAGAAACTCTTAACCCACAAAGGCCTGTCAAAATATACTGTGCAACGCAAAAAAAAAAAAAGATTTAGGGCAAAAAATTGAAGACAAAGAGGATAATATCCTAGAAATTGGATGCACTTCAGTATCTATGACTGTCTATACATGATTTTGAAGATAAAGCTCGATCCTTTCAACAGAAACACAAATAAAACATAAAGAGCAGCAGCCAATTGATTTCCCACAGAAAAGCACAGAGAGGTGCAGTGCATAACTGCCAAAACAGCACAAATGGAATTACGGAAGCAAGTAAATTACCTTCCATATTTGGCGAAGAGCTGCTCCAGGTCTCGTGATCGTGTTCGAGATGACAAGTGCCCGACATAGAGACGTGTACTGCTGTACCGATCATCGTAGCGAGGCATCTTCAAGCTACAATAAACAGACAATTCAATCAACAGAGACAAAACAGCGTATCAACAGCTTTAAATTTGTCATGGAAAGGTGGGGACTGAACAAATTCTACATCATCAAAGTTAGACAACACTCAATATTCAAAACACCATCGAAGAAAACTCATGGGCGACAAGTATAAAAAGCATGAATTTTGAGCACAACCCACACACCAATCTACACAGCTTATCCACATCAAGTTATTGCCTTTCCCAATATAAAGGCTGAAACCGCCAAAATTATACTTTGAAAGAAACTTTGACAGTAGAACAGTGCGAAAAATTCAGCCAAAAAACTCGCAAAGAACAATCGCAAACGGAAACACAGAAACATCACATCGATGCCGTAAGATTCCTGTCCGAATAACAGATCGATAATTTCCGTAATGAAACCAGACGGATCTGAACATGGATTAAAATTTGCAACCCAGCAAACGACAACACGCAAGGAACACATCGAGAAAGCGATCGAGAAGCAAAGGAAATAGAACAGAAGCTCTAATCATGCCAGAGTTTGTAGAAATTAGATCGGAACCATACCTGAAAATCCGACAGGTCGCCCAAATCGAAACAGTTTTGACCTAACTTCTCTTGGTTTATCGAGAAAATAAGCTCTGCCCAGATCTATAGAGCCATAAAGAGAAAGGAAAACTTTTTCGACGGCCAAGATTTGTTTGTTTCAAACCAACGGTCCAGATTCAATAAATATAAAGATATTTTTTCCGGTGGATGCTGGATGGAGAGAGAGGTAAATCGGCGTGTGATTATTAACCAAATCCCGAACTAAAATTGTTTTTTTTTTTTGCAGATAAAACCTATTAATTTATTTATATATAATTTATAAATGATTATACATAAATCTTTCTAAATCAAACCTCTCTTGTTTTGTACATGTATTCTCAATCTCTCATTTTCCCATACAGATATTAAATCATTGGACCGACTCATATGGATCGATAATGTCAACGAAGATTTGCCTTTTTTTCTCAATTTTAATGAAGAACTTTGACTTGAATCCCGTTCTGTCAATGTTATAATAAAACAATATCAATGTAGTAAGAGTAAACGAGTTACAAAAGATATTAAAACTTTATATAGGCCTGCCTCATATGATCATAAGCCCATGGGCCATAGGATCCAAAACAATGATATTATCTTATTGATATTTATTCGGATTACATTCATAACCGACCGCATAGCGCAGTGGATTAGCGCGTCTGACTTCGGATCAGAAGGTCGTGGGTTCGACTCCCACTGTGGTCGCTTCTTTTTTGTCCTTCTTCTCAATTATTATCACTTCAATACACTACTGTGTTTTTTTTACCACGGGCGGTGGCTTCCCGAGAATGCAATTTTGCCACACAATAAAAAATCAGTGCAACACAACAACAATTTCAATCGTTCGAAACTTGGACTGAGTAAAACTGTGAAAAAAAAATTTGCAAACCGAAGCGGAAAAGGTCCAAGTCTGTGACAAAAAACATAAAAGAGTAACACCCAACATCTTCCCATTAGAAAACAAACGCAGTCCAAGTTGATTACACTTTGATAGCGTACTTCCTCAAGGGGAAGTACATATCTCTCTTCTTTTCCCGCTCCGTCTTCAACGACGCCTGCAACCATCAGGCACATGAACACACCATATGATCGAAAGGTTTTTTCGTGTATATAAAAATATATACTTTGCATATCTATATGCGAGCTCTATATGGATTCTAGGTTTTGATGTTTTCATGACCATGGGCACGAGAAAGAAAATGTATTGCCCTAAGAGGGTGGGGAAAACGGGGACCTGGTGTTTGGTAAGGCGCCTCCTGATAGCGCGGGTTTTCTTGGGACGGAGATCAAGGGGCAGGAACTTCTTGTTCTTGTATGCTTCTCTCAGAGCAGATTTTTGCTTCTGAGAAATCACCGTCAACACCTGAGCAATGGATTTCCTCACCACCTTGCTGGAGATCAAAACCGTAATTATATGGTGCATATGTCAATTCCAAACCGAGAAGAGAAGCTTCACAAATGATGCTTAAGAGTTTGAATAAAGCATAAGCATATGCGTACACACATCAACACTTTCAAAGGAAGGAATGGTATTGCTAGGGTTAACATTCACAATCAGTGTTATCAATAACGTATGGCGGTCGGTCCATTGCTGGAGATCAAAACCGTAATTATATGGTGCATATGTCAATTCCAAACCGAGAAGAGAAGCTTCACAAATGATGCTTAAGAGTTTGAATAAAGCATAAGCATATGCGTACACACATCAACACTTTCAAAGGAAGGAATGCTATTGCTAGGCTTAACATTCACAATCAGTGTTATCAATAACGTATGGCGGTCGGTCCATGGCATCAAACAAAATATAGGCCATGAATATATGGCGGATGTCATGGCGGTTTATGGCGGATATTATGGCGTAAGCAATGGCGAAAACGCCATAAACGCCACGCTATATACACCCATGGCATCTACCTTGAAATCAACCAGGCAATTCCGCCATTTGACAACACTGTTCACAATTCAACAAGAACTACTCTTGCATCATGAAATGAACAAAAACAAAAATGGGAGACAAGCGTGAAATGGATATGCCCAGATAGGAATGGAACACGGATTAATAATCAAATCAAACAAAAGCGTCAGGTTGATTGGAATCCATATACATGATATCATTTAATATATCGACAATTTGAATCACCATCACCCAGTCAGAAGCTATACCTATACATAAACTCCACCACCTACATCATCATATATAGCAAAGCAAACAGATCGATACGATCATAACCTTGGATTCAACGGACTACGCGTATCTTAATCAATATAATCTCGAGGTTAAATGCCAGCTAACATAAAAAATGACATTTCCGAATTGGCAATCAAAGCCAAACCAAAAAGTGCGAAATCCCAAGTCCAAACGTATCGCCTATATGCACAGTATACATGTGTATCCGTCTATATACAGGGAAATACGTACATTTTAGAGAGCTTGTTGGGAGCGCCGCCGGTGACTTTGGCGACACGGAGGAGCGCGAGCTCGGCCTTGAGTTCCTTAAGCTGATTCAGTAGATCCGTCTTCGACTTGTCCCTTAGCTCGTGAACCTTAATCCTCGCTAACACGAAGCCAATCGAAATACGAAACATCAGAAATCGGGAGACACATGTTCGGACAGAACATCAACCAGATTAAGGATTTATGGATCTGTTCTTCGCCTTACCCATCGTGAGCTTGCTGGTATTGGACTGCTGTTCCCGCCGCGGCTGTTCGAGTTAGTTAGCTCCGAGAGTTCAAAACCCTAATCGGGACGGAGGGAGAATTTATGTAATGCCCCTCAAAACCAGACGAGAGGAAGATCCTTCCTAATGGGCTTTTCCATGAAGCCCAGTACGATGAACGGGGCCTTCTGTCGGTAAGAGTGAACCGGAAGCCGGTTTGATCCGCAGCTGATACTGATTTAGTGATTTTAACCGAGCAGGAAACCAATGTCAGATAGATGAAATTTGGATTAAACCGAACTTGGTTAACCGGAATTTGGACACTTTAATGGGCATATCCCATAATTATTCAATTAATAATATATTCACAGCATCAGCACTTATATAATGTGTTCTACAATATTCCATATATATTATAAGAAAAACTAATAATAATATTCCACTTTACCCAAAAAAAGAAAATCATTCCATGAAAAAGATTTGAACTTTTCCTTTATAACGTTATGTTTCAAAATATATATTAAGGAACAAACTAAATCTTTTAATATATATATATATATATATATATATATATATATTTATATATATATATGGATCGATCCAAATTCATATTACATAACACATACGATATTAGACAAACAAAATAGATTTCATTTTGAGGCGATGGGAACTAAATTTTATTGCAAAAAGTGGGAGGAAAAAAAAAGATGGATGGAATAATGGGAGTAAAGGGGAGAGAACATAAGAATAAGAATTGGATTCGGTTGAGGTTTGGTTGTTTGTGACATGAGCATCGGATTCGCCAAAACATACCGTAAGAGATGGGAATAATCTTGATATTTTTATTTTTTTTTATCTTGGTTTTTTTGTTATTAACATCTAAAATATTATTTTATTTTATTTGTCGATGATCCATATATATATATATGTTCACAATGAGTGAAATATATTCCACGCGGTTTTCTAAAGAATCCGAATAAAGTCTCTATATATATCAAACGATTCCTTCTTACCCTTTCCTTTGTTTTCTAAAAGTCGATTTCTCGAATCCATGATACAAAAAAACACGAAACATGTTATATGATTCTAATTCCTAAACAAAGTTTAGGTCAATATACTGTGCAATGGCATGATCTACTGTTTAAACGGATTCAACCTATACTTGTATTATTTTAAAATTTATCTGAATATAAACTAGTTAAATAAAAAAAAATTAGATGTGAGTTACAATTTTGTAAAACAAAAATAAAACCAAACTGAACTAAATCAAATAAAATATAATTTTAAATCCATCAAAATCCATTTTGTTCACCTTATAACAAATAAATTCCTGTCTTTTGTAGAAAATTATAAAATAAATATTATATATATATATATATACGTAGTCGCAATTTTTATATTTATCGAGATAAAAATGCATATGAGATAGAAAAAATTGGGGAAAAAAAAAAAAGAAGAAGCCAATTCCCCACACACTAGATGCATGTACTGTATTTCCATTCCAAACCACTTTATCATAATATAGTCAATCAGTCATCAAAGATTAGATCACAAGTTCTGTGCCTCCGAAGAATTAGTCATCATCCACCCACCATGACTCAAACCTCGTCCTCTTCCCCGGCCGTGCGTCTCGGCGGGCGCCGGAGATTCACTCCTCCGCCCTCTCCAAACACTAATTCTTCCTCCTCTCTCCACCTTTCCCACAGCCCAAAACCTGGCTTAAACCCTAGTACTGGAGATTATCAACAGAATTCACAAGAACAAAACCACGCAACCAAGAAGAAGAAGAAGAAGAAGAAGAAGACGGGTCTTGGTAACGCTTGTATTGCTGCAAATCCTCAGGGTTCTTCTCGTTACTTGTTGGACGACCCGGTTTTCTTTGATGGGTTCGTGGATTCCGATCCGGTTCCGGTACCGGTAGACCCGGTTTTCACTGATGGGTCCCTGGATTCCGACACGATTCAGGCGTATATCGACCAGGTTGATGATGGTCCCGAGAAAACCAAACTGGGTTTCGGTTATAACGAAGATAGACTGATAATTAACGCCTCGAAGTACCTCTCGTCTTCTTTCTTGGAGAAGAAGCAACCCGATTTCTTTGACGGGTTTTTAGATTATGACCCGGTTCTGTCTCCGGATAACACCGTGTCCCATCCCACAAAGAGCTCTCCGTCTGAAACTTATCGTGAAGATACACATGGTACAACTCCAGATGTTCAAATCCAGACATCTCCTCCTCCTCCCCAGGAGAAGAAGCCGTCATCGGATCAGGTTATTTCAAAAAAGAAAATCGATATTTTCTTATCCAAAAATCATGTCTGAAATCCAAATCTATGTTCCTTCTTTTGTTTTTGTTTTGTCCTTAAGGTCGTGGTTTTGAGAGTGTCACTCCACTGCAAAGGCTGTGCCGGGAAAGTTCGGAAACATCTTTCAAGAATGAAAGGTACGAGCAAGAAATATATATATAAAAAAAAATCACGAATTTTATAAAATGTGTAAAAAAATATATTAACAAATAAATACACTAAATGTTGGAATGTGTTTAAAAAATACACTAATTCTTTTTTTTTTTTGATAAAAAATACACTAATTCTTGAAATTGAAAACACCTTCCTATGTAAATTCCGAATATGACATTACTTTCGATTAAAATATGTATATAAAACAAGTTCAAACAAATTCCGAGTCATATATTTTTATGGGATTTTCTCCTAAAAAAATGTTTTATTTATGAGGTTTTTGTGATCAAATTCCGTTCTTTGAAACAGAGGGTTCACGTACAAGGTTGTTTTAATCGCAGGAGTAACGTCGTTTAACGTGGACTTCGCAGCAAAGAAGGTAACCGTGACGGGAGACGTAACGCCGTTAGGGGTGCTTGCTAGTGTTTCCAAGGTTAAAAGCGCACAGTTTTGGCCCGAGACTATCAAGTAATCATATGTTTCCGTCTATTTCCTTTCGCAGTATCCGCAAACATGACACTTGTTGCAGTTTGTTTGGTTTGTTGTTTTGTGTGACGCTTTAATACATGGCCACATATACATACATATATACATACACACAGCAAAATGTGGATAAAGAAATTACATGTGAAGTGGTGAGCCATTAGGAGTTATTGTTATTCGAAATTTATCAGTTAATTTTTTTATATAAAAAATACATGACGAAGAAAAGTATTTTTTTGTAAACTTTTTAACTTATAATAAAAAACTATTTATTAAATTTAGAAAAATAATTAATTACAAAATCTAAATATATAATTTTCATCAATTTAATTTATTTTTAAAAAATTCCAAAAAATATATATCAATTTTTTAATTTGATAACTAAATGCATTAAATATTGAAAATGTGAAAAAATATATTTTTTGAAATTAAAAGCAATTTTTTACTCATTTACTATGTTGACATTGTTAATATCCAAATACAAAATTGATTTCGAATAAAACTATTAAGATACTGTTAACATTTAAAGATCGTATTTATAATTGTTTTGAATTCAAGAGTTTTTTTTTTCACGTGTCAATATTTAATGTATTCAGTTGTCAAATTAAAAATAGATGCAAAATTTCAATACTTGTATGAAATTTTCTCGATTTTTAGTAAAAATATGAAATTATTTTAGTTTTGTTCAACAAAACACCACAAATTATTATCAAGTGGCAAATGGCAAAAAAATGTGCGATTAGATTCATTTGTTGTTTACTGTGAATTATTGCGATTGAACTAATTAATTTTCCAATCGCAAACGCCGATAACACAACAACACCAACCAAAACCAAATGGTCTACATTCACATATTCCTCTGTCTTCCGACAAGGACCAGCCATCAAGATTCAAGATTCTACTGTTTCTTTGAGAAAAGCTTCTGAGTGTTGATCATGTTGGAATCAAAGTACTCCATGTACGGATGATTCTCAGGAACCAACCTGCGAAACTGCTCGAACTGCTTCTCCGCTTCGTCTTTCTTCTTCATCAACGTATATATCAAACCCTGGCAGAGATACGGTCTGAAATCTTCCGGCTCATCCTTCACCAGCTCCTCATAAACCCTAAGAGCTTCCATCGGGTTTCCCTCTATCACCCTAATCTGCGCAATCAACAGCATGAAATCCCGAAGATCTTTCTGCTTCTTCTCTTCCTTGCACTTTTCCACCACCCCATTGATCCTATTCTCTAGCTCCGATAGTTTTGAATCCGAATCGGAGTAAGCCATTACCAACCCGTGATAGGCTTCGACCCGAAATGGGTCCTTCGCCAGAATCTCCTCGAAGCCTCTCGTCGCCGAGTCGTAATCGCCATTGTAGGTCTGTAGCTGTGCTTTCAAAACCGGCCATTCGTGTTCATCGGGTTCGATTTCGATCAGACGGTCGAGAATCGTTATCGCCTGCCGCAGCTTTTGGGATTGGAATTTGATCTTCACCAGCGATTGCAGAGCCTCCACGTCGTTCGGATTGCTCGCCAGGTGCTGCTCGAGAGCCGCCTCCTGCTGTTCCAACGAGACCTCGTCCTCCTCGCCGGCTTCCTCCGCGCGCTCCGCCGTCGACGGCGGAGGAGCCACCACCGGAGTCGCGACGGCGGGTCTGACCAAGTGTAGTGAGGCGGAGAAAAGAGCGGCGGCTGCGGTGAGGGTGACGCAGGTGGTTTTGAGTAGAGAGGGTTTAGGGCTCGACGACAAAGCTCTGATGGCGGGAATTCTGGGCGATCTCGACTTGGATATTGTTCGAAGCGAAAAAGGAATCGAAGATTTGAGGGGAATTACGCGGTGGCGATTGAGCGAGAGATGAAATGAATGGTCAGAGCAGTGGAATTTCGCCGGGGACGCCATTGTTGTTTCAGATAACGATGTCAAACCCTAATCACCGCGACATAAGCTAAAGAAGAAACGTTCAGAAAAAGGACAAATAAAAAAGATATAATAGAAACGACGCCGTATTAATATTGGGCTTATATTGAATAAGCTCATGTATTTTTTGTAAGGGCCCTTTAATGGGCTTTTAATCTTGTTTTGGGCCCAAAATATCATAATCAGATAGTTAACCGGATTGTCCATATGGTAAACCGGGTCGGAAAATATCTACAACTCTCTCGGGAAATCTGGAGAAGAAAGGAAAGAAAAAAGGAAGATTCTGAATCCGGCGGGGAATTTCCTTTCTTCGTCGGAATAGATTCTCTACCTTTCTTGGCAACCGAACAGAATCTCCGATGTTCCACCATTATTCTCTTTGTTAATTGACTCTCTCACGTCTCCACATGATTTGACCTCCTCACTCTCCGGGGTTACTCTCTCCTCTCCTGGTCCATTTTCCCGGATCTGATTCCTTCGCCATGGATTCTCGAGTTGACGAGGAGGCTCCTTTGGTCGTCGGAGATCGGAAGGTAGAGCAGCCCAAGAACTATACGAGGGATGTTCATATCCTCAGTATCTCGTTTCTGCTCGTCTTCCTCGCGTACGGTGCCGCTCAGAACCTCGAAACCACCATTAATAAGGTCTGATGATCTGCCCATTTTGGTCAACTTTCTAAATCTGAGCTGATCACTACCTCAGCTTGACTGTTTTGATGATTCTGAGTGATACTGTAAAATTTAATATCAGAATCCTCAATTGTGCAAGTGTTCATTTGACTATTTGACTACAGAGCTCAGAGACTGGGTTCTGCCTCCATTGTTTGGAAGACGATTGGCTAAGCTCATTCGTTATTGTAATATTGATTCATTTGATTTTTCAGGATCTGGGAACAATCTCTCTCGGGATATTATATGTCTCCTTCATGTTCTGCTCCATGGTTGCATCCTTGGTTGTGCGGTTAATGGGCTCAAAGAATGCTCTGGTTTTAGGAACTAGTGGTTATTGGCTATTCGTTGCTGCAAATCTGAAGCCGTCGTGGTATCATCATCTGCTCCCTTTCTCATCTAAAACCTTTACCTGGTTATAGTAGACCATTCATACGAATGAAAGTACACATTTGGCGAATTATAAGTCTATGTTTCATTGCATTAGCTGCTTAAACCATCTTGGGATAGTTTACAAAATAAGAAAACAGATCGCACATGATTCCGTTATGTGGTCCGGTTGTTGAATTTGAGGCTGCTATCTGGTTGCCAATGGTTAGTTTGGAGGGCCTATCTTTCCAAGAATGGTATATTCATCTTTAATCTCTCAATGGAAAGGCAGAAAGGAAACTAAGAACTAGACAGCATCAACATTCAGTGTAAGGAATGCTTCAAGACTTCATGTTGTGGCTAGAATTTTACTGCAAGATTTTGGCAAGAGATAACGAGTAACAGAAGACCTAAACAAAATAAAACTGATTGTAGATCTGTATATGCTCGAGATATGACTTTGTTTTATGGGTTAAGATCCTTGTCAGGTATCTACACCTTTCTGAACACCTCCCTATGTTATTGTATATTAAGCTTTCTTGCACTCAAAGACTGTCTTTTGACTTCATTTATTGCTTCAAGGTTTACTATGGTACCAGCCTCTCTGTACCTTGGATTCTCATCTTCGATTATATGGGTTGGGCAGGTACCAGTGTGTGTTCCCATTTCTTGATTTTTTTAGGGTATTGTATGTGTTACTGAGTCGTTCTTAATTCAATTTGTCAACTAGGGAACATACCTCACTTCGGTTGCACGAAGTCATGCTAGAGATCATAACTTGCATGAAGGCCCAGTAATTGGTATATTCAATGGGGAATTTTGGGCTATGTTTGCATGCCACCAGGTGCATGATTGTACTTGGCTTGGCCACTGCCACTTATGGTTTTCCTTTTTGTTCAGCTTAGAATCTTCCATGCATATACCCTAAACTCTTCTAATGATATATCCCCCTGTGAATGTTCTTGTAGTTGTTTGGGAATCTTGTCACGCTTGCCTTGCTGAGAGATGGGAAGGTATACACTGTTCTCTCGTTAGCAGCAATCCTTTACCCGCATCTTGGTTTTGTCTGAATATGATTAATTTCTTGTCTATAGTTGCAATATAGCTGATCTGTCTATATTACTGTCCATGTTACGGCTTTTCTGTTTAATGCATGTAACTTATTATGGGAGCATAACTTTCTAACCAACCAGAGAAATAGTTCTTGTTTGAAAACGATGCCTTAATCCTTGTCATTTGGCTTTCTTTTCGATTGACCAAATTCAATTTACTGTTTCTTGGTAAAAAGACCACAACCAGTGTTGTCTCTTAGACTATCAGAAGGATATATCACATTAACAACTTAGTTAGGTGAAATGTCTGATTTACAAGTGACAAATTTAAATTTCCTTTTTAGTTGGATAACTTCATTGATTTCTCCATCAACGTGACTGCAGGAAGGAAGCACCAGTGGGACGACTTTATTGATGGTGGTCTTTCTCTTTAGTATGACATTGGGTATCATACTAATGTGCTTCATTCGTAAAAATGAGGTAGAAGATGGAAAAGAAGCTAAGGGTTCTTCTGTTGGATTCTATGACTCGGTGGTTTCCCTGCCAAGGATGATAATCACTCCTCTGCTCAACAAACGGATGGTGCTGATTGTCCCACTCCTTGCGTATTCAGGATTGCAACAGGCATTTGTTTGGTATTTCTCTGACAAACTCTAAATTCTAAATGCATGCCCCATTTACTATGGCTATCAAAAGGATAGCATAAACAATTGTTTGCATGCAGGGGTCTATGTTGTCATGGTAAGACTCTTAACAAGGATCCTTAGCTCTATTGACTGGTTAGGGGGGAGCCATCAGCATGTATAGGTGGCCTAAGTTATTCTATCTTTTTCTTGTTAAAGTGAATACTGCCCTCTAAATAGGAATCTTTAAGCAACAAAATTTACCTGTTTTCTGTATATCATCCTATACGTTTTGAATGCCGAAGTCTCAGCTTTGGACTGTTAATTCTACATTTTCTAAAGTGCTTTGTCTGGACAGCAAATGCTACCAAATATCTGGTAGTTTCAGCTGTTGATTTATCGAATATGGTTTTATTATCTAACGATTATGCCTTCTTCCATTAGGGCTGAGTTTACTAAGGATGTTGTAACACCAGCAATTGGTGTCTCTGGTGTTGGGGGTGCAATGGCAGTCTATGGAGCTCTTGATGCTGTTGTAAGTGTGGAAGGCAAAAGCCTAAAGAATACTTACAGGCTTTTAACTTGATTAAAATGTTCGATATACAGTGCTTTTGACGAGGCTAACACATATCGTTTTGTTGAATCCATCCAGTGTTCAATAACAGCGGGAAGATTTACTTCTGGGCTTTCATCAATCACCTTCATAGTTTCGGGTGGAGCTGTTGCTCAGGCTTTTGTTTTCCTCTGGCTTCTTCTTGGGTACAGGTTCGTTATGCCGTTCTCCCCTATCTACTTGCTCAAAAACCATGTTCGGTTTTCACTAGATGGATATTCAATTTCTCATACCATAGTTCCTTAAGGCTCCTCTACATTAAAGTTGATTGTCGTAATCTTATGCAGGGTAACTAGTGGAGCGTTAGGCACTGCATACCCCCTTCTTATGGCGGCTTTATTAGGCATAGGAGATGGAGTGCTGAATACCCAAATCAGCGCATTGCTTGCATTACTCTTCAAGGATGACACGGTAATATATATATACATACAGAACGCCGGTTTTAACTGGCTTTCCCGCTCCATAACACACTATTGAATAGGAACATCTTTCTCAGAGAATCATTTTTTTTTTCCGGGTTGTGAAACTGAAACACAGGAAGGAGCATTTGCACAGCTGAAGGTGTGGCAGAGTGGAGCAATAGCGGTGGTGTTCTTTCTCAGCCCATACATAACTATGCAGGCGATGGTTGTAGTGATGCTTGCAGGGGTATGTTTTTCTCTGCTCTCTTTCCTCACCTTGTCTGTGTGGGTAGAGAAAGTGTTCTTCCATGGCCAAAACCAGTAGAAAAACAAGGAAATTGTGAAATTGAATTGTAAATCGTTTGTATGGTTGGATAATAATGTTGTGTAATATATATATATATATATATGATTTGGGGGGTACAAAGCAGATTGTTAGGGATGGTGGTTGTGGATGGAGACAGAGTGGATAAGCTTGATGCTGAAATCCCAAAGCTTAAGTGCCAGAGATTGGTCTCTTGCTAGTTTGCTTGGACTCACTTCATTGCAGTCTGCATAGTATTTCCCTGTCTCCCCCTCCATGTTTGGATGCAGCGCTACGTAGCATGTTGTAGCTGCCCCCTGTTTCACATATACATATATATTAATTTTACATGTAAATTGCTCATAGGATTTTGATTGATATTCATAATTATAAACACGTGTCAAAAAGGAGGAGTACCTGAGGTACGGTTTTCCACAAGAAGAAACTGAAGAATTTTAAGAACCCTGCAGACCACATGAAATTAAATAGACAATGTATATAATTAGGCAACACACACACACACACACACATACATATATATATATATATATGCGTGTATGCAAGTATATAAGGCATACTCATCAAAAGGGCAGTGTGTTGGAAGAGATTGGTGAAGATGAGGCCAGGGTGCACTGAATTCACTGTGATGTTCACTCCCTCTTCCTACCAAAACCCATTTCTCATCCTTTAGTTTTTGTGTTTTTTACGTCTTATTTACATATTTACAGACACTTAAAATACACAAGCACATATATGGGGAGATAATTCTTTTAATAAAAAGGCCACCTGAAGTCGACGAGACAGCTCATTTGCGTGCAGTATGTTAGCCAATTTCGATTGTCCGTATGCTCTCTTGTCCGAGTAGCTGATCATATACATATATATATATATATCATACAAGTTAGAAACATATAAATATCGTGTCAATATATACAATTAAACGAAAAAACATATACACATAGTATATGCTTACTTCAAAACATATACGTATTCCAAGTTCAATACATATATAATACGATTAGGAAGAAAATGAACCAGGAAATGTCGTTAATATCGTCGAAGAGGATGCCATGAGGGTATGCATAGATATGCGCGACGGATGAGAGATTCACAATCCTTCCTTGGACACCGCTCTCTTTCACCGTCTTCTTCATTCTCTCCAGAAGCAAGTTTGTCAATAGAAAGTGACCTATACATATATATTTATATATATATATATATATTCAAACCCACATCATTAGTTCCTAATTATATTTGATTTTGTTCGCACTGAAACTTAAGAATCTGTTAATTAATTAAAGGATGACAATAATATGAAGAAAAATAAACAAAAGGGCTGATATATATATATATATATATATATTACCAATGTGATTAGTGGCAAATTGAAGTTCAATCCCATCTTGAGACAGTTGGTATGGACAGAACATTATCCCTGCATTGTTTCTGCAAAACACGACCGCCATATGTTTATCACATGCACATGCTACACAAATGACATGCACGCATGCATGATTCTTTTGGTACACATGCAGGCTATGGGTTTTTTTGTAACAAGGAGAGAGAGAGATGGTAGATGACATACATGAGGAGGTTGAGAGGGAGAGAGAGAGAATCGAAGTCGCGGACAAAAGATCTGACGGAAGCAATGGAGGAGAGATCGAGTTCTAGGACAGTAACACGTGCGGAGGAGTTGTGTTTGAGGATCTCTGCTTTGGCGTTTTCTGCAGCTCCCATGTTCCTGGCTCCAATTATGACACGTGCTCCTCTCTTTGCCAGCACTCTCGCCGTCTCCTTTCCTATTCCTCCCGACCCTCCTACATTTTACAAATATATATATTACCAAATTGTAGCGTAGAGAAGATACAGCAAAGAGTCTAAAAAATATTCTACGAATTCACTGTTCTTACAAATTTATAGGATTTGTAATTTGAGAACTCCGGTCAAGGTATTTTTGGTATTTGCAAGTCTGCAACCGTGAGGACTGTGGTTTATGTATCTAGAGGATTGATGCATCTTCTACATGTAATACACATATAGTATATAAATGTACATACATATATATGTATATGTACCTGTAATGATGGCGGTGAGAGAAGATGCATCAATCCCTTGTGAAACCTCTTCGGCCGTGGAAGCAGACCCAAATCCACTTGCTCCTCTTCTCCCCGTCACTAGTGAATATATTCCCATTTTTTCTCTATCTTCCCAAGAGAGAGAGAGAGAGAGAGAGAGAGAGAGAGAGAGAGAGAGAGAGAGGCTTTTGAAGAACAACATGATGCATTGAGGATCATATTTATAACGGGGGACGAGTTGCATGTGGGAGAATTAATGTTTTATCACTGAATCCCCTTTAGTTTGGTTCGATGGACCTCTACGCGTACGTATAAATCTGCGTCACAATCATATATATATACGCACCGACTTGTATCATTGTATGTATATACAAATATACGATCAATTCGGATATACACATGCGCCGATCTACTTTTTGATTGGTTCATCTCTGTATTTAATGCTTTATGATAAGAATAATCTAACATTTTGGAGTATAATAAATAATTATTTGTTCCATATCTCTTGTGGGTGCACCACCGGCATCATGGAGTCATATGACAGAACATATTTCATAGTAATAAAAAAATCCTATTATCTTTATATTAGAAACAGATATGATGGTCACACACCCCCATGTATGTATGCGTATATATATATATATATATTATGGATAAAATCTAATAATAATTTATTAAATTGGGAAGTGTTTGACCAAAAAATAATGAATGAAGGGCCGGTGAGAAGCAGTTGGAGACTCTTTATCAACCACTTGGGTTCGGTCTCGATGCCTTTCAAACTTCGTGTGTTAACGAGAAAACTCCTAAAAAAAAAGTGGGGGTTTGGTCGTTCCCATTTAATTATAGTTAATGAACTAATGAATTTTATTACTAGTTCCGATTAATATATTAAAAGTATTATTATTATTATTGTTGTTGTTTTTATTTTCCGTATGTATATATTATTGGCACAACTTAGATAGACGCATATTATACTAACTATTTTTTCAGAAGATAATCCGATTTAACATGTACTCTAGAAAAAAAAAATGAAATTATTTATGCCTTCATCTTTATGGGGCCAATGTCACAATATTTTATATTTTAACACAGTTGAAATTATGAACGAATGATTCTTTTACAAATTTTGGATTTAAAAAAAAAATAGAAAAACAGGCTATAAACTTTTACATAATATCGTAATCTTGTGTTGGGATTAAGAGTTTTTTTGTTATTCAATGAGATTATTTGTTTGTTGAAGATAATAATAAAAGGAATTCAAATCACACACATTATGGTAGTTCGAAACTAAAAAAATATAAATTTCTGTAAATAAATATATATATTGTAATAATACTTTGGGACATATATGTTTGGAGTGTTCAATAATATGCGTAGCCGTAGGTAGAAGGTAAGTAGTGAGTGCAATAAAGGTGGTCCAAATTATGAGGAACCATTAATTGGGAGCTCCATACACATGTGATCAAATTATTCGAACACAGACCTAATCCCACCCCACTGGTCCACCCACAAAAATGTATATACACACATATATCCCTAAGTTTTATTCATATTTATGAAATTATCTCTATATCTGATTTAATTTAGTGCACACGAAAAATATAGATTTTTGGTTTGTTTATCTTTCAAACATGCCACGGAAACAATAAGTCAACAGGGGGGCAGTATATATATTTTATTTTTTCACTTCTTAACGTGTGTATATGGAAACATGCAATATATATATATATATATATATATATATATATATATCATATATTTTCAATCCTTAGATTTTATTAGATTATTATTTGAAAATATTTATTTTACATCCATTTTTTTTCGTTGGATTTAATTTAATCTAAAAAATAATACCCGATCAAATTTTAGAAAACATTCAATTCAAATATAACTTTATTTTATTCGATTTAATTTTTTATATCCAAAACCCTACTTTCAACCGTTTACACTAACATTTTCATGGTCGAGTTTTTTTTTTTATAAAAAAATTATAATTGTGAAGTATCTTTGTTTTTGGGATATTCAAGTCCTAAATAGTTAAATCACGGATGCGCATCTGTGGGTTTACACGTGAAATTTTCAGACGGAGTCACATGAAATGAGCGTGGACATGAATTGCTGTTGTCTTTTTTTAATAATTATATTATATATAATGACTTACATATTCTTTCTTGTCCCATATATACTCTATAAATTAAAATTATGCTCACATTTTATTTTACAAAATGCATAAAACCACATTATTATTATTATATATACACAACCCCAACGGTCAAAAAGTAAAATACAAAATTGCATAGCCCTCGACTTCGAGCAACAAAACTAGAGCAGGGCAATGCTATATCATAACGTACACGAAATAAAAACCTCAATTTTATTTTTTTTAAAGGATTTTAATCTTATATTGGATATGCCAGCCCATTAATACATGCTCCTACATGGGCCAGTATTCACCTTGATATGACCCATTAAAACCCAATTTTATTTATTTAAGGATTTTAATCTTATTGGGTATGATAGCCCATATGTAAGCCCATTAACATATGCGCCTATATGGGCCTGTATTCACCTTACTGTGGCCCATATATATTTATATTGAGCAAAAAAGTACACATAATAAAACCCTAATTATATTTGAAGAGATTTGATCTTATTTGGATTTAACGGCCCAATTTCAGCCCATTAAGCTTTCTAAGGCCCATATCTAATTTACATGTTTTCTAAATGTTGGGTGGTGATATATAAAGTTTAAGATGTGGCTTTTAATAGCATCCGTACATTGGATTTGTGTGTATACAGTTTTCATATTTCTTGGCACAATTGAAATTCAAAGTTTTTTAAGCTACGTAATATATATTTATAAGAGCGATTATATATAAAAATTATATATGATTAACTAACGTTTTATCCTTGATATTTTTTTTTATTGTGATATTTTCAGATTTTCTATTTTTTTTTTTTAACGATCTTCAGTTTTTTTCGGAAAGGCTAAATTATTAGAAGAAAGGTAAGCTAAGACAGGGGACCAAAGGGAAAAGACGTGAAATTTGAAGACTAGAAGAAGAAAGAAATAGAAGAAGGGTCCTTATATCAACAGATAAAACTTTGGGGTACCAAAATAATGTTCACTAAAATTGAGGGTGGCTTATAGGAATTATCAGTTGATATAACTAAATAGTTTGTCGCAAAAAAACAAAACAAAAAACCTTCGGAACTTGCCTTCATTTTCCTCGTTCCATCAAAACCCTAGTTCCTCCTGCTGCTTGTTTCTCCTCTCTCTCTCTCCGATCTCAGACGAAGAAAAGATCCGGCGAAGATGTCGAGTGCTTTGGACATGTCACTTGACGATATCATCAAGACTAACCGGAAATCCACCGGATCCCGCGGCGGCCGCGGCGGCGGCGGCCGTGGATCTGGTGGTCCTGATCTCTCTGGCCGCTTCTCCAACCGCATCGGGAACCGAGCGGCGCCGTACTCAAGGGTCAGCAATCGATTTCTCCTCATCTCATCTTCCTCCCAGAACAGAAATTCTTTGGGTTTTATGTTGGTTGGGCAAAAGAAAAGTTAAGATTCCTAGGGTTTTTCAGTCGGTTGTCAAAAAAAGCTGAGATCTCTTTTCCTTTCTTCTTCTTCTTTGACGAACAACAGCCGGTACAATCTCCAGATTTGGCTTGGCAGCACGACATGTTCGCGGCCGACACGGCGGGGGGGTGGCGGCGGGTTTCGGTGGTCATCCCGCGGGCGGTGCCTCATCAATTGAGACTGGAACTAAGCTTTACATTTCGAATTTAGAGTACGGAGTTTCCAACGAAGATATTAAGGTTAGCTTCGATTTTCGTTTCCTTCGTTTTTGGCCAATGGATCCGGGAAAAAAACTGAATTTTTAATTTATCTGGATGCCGACGTAATTGTGGATTGTCAAATATGGTACGGATCAAGTTCGTGTGGGTTCATGCTCGGGTTCGGCTGTGAAGAGGAACTTCATGAAATTGTGAATAAAACCATATATTGTCCGAAGAATGTAAAATCTCGTCTTGAAATTGGTCTCTGGCTCATCATTTTGTTGCCTCCTTTAATCTATATGAATTTTGGGTTTATCATCAGGTTGTTTGCCTTGCTTTTTGTTGCGAGTCTAAGCTCTTCAAATATCCGGTTTGAAATTTTGGTGCTTTCTTTCGCTTGTAAAGATGCCTATGCGTGGGAGTGGAATTGACAAGTACAATGCTCTGTTTTTTTCTAATCCCAAGTTTTTATTTGTTTGTAGGAGCTTTTCTCAGAGGTTGGCGACCTTAAACGATATGGCATTCATTACGATAGGAGTGGGAGATCGAAGGTACTTATGGAGTTTCTATCGTGTCAGCATCCGCTATCAACGAGCCTTATCCTAACTAAGCAATAAACCACTCTCTCAGGGCACGGCTGAAGTCGTCTTCTCCAGGCGAGCTGATGCCATGGCTGCTGTAAAGAGGTACAACAATGTTCAACTGGATGGCAAGCCTATGAATATTGAGATAGTGGGGACAAATCTTTCGGCTCCTGCCCCACCTCCTTTGCCTGCAAATGTGATGTTTGGAAACTTGAATGGTGCTCCCAGAAGGTTTGTATTGTTATGACCTACCCAGGTGCCTGTTTGTCGAGTATCTATTGCATATGTATCAGGGCACAAGCAGTTGCCTACCATCCGGGCTGATTCCTTGCTTTTTTGGAAGATCAGCTTTTACTGAAATAAAAGCATATAGTAGGGCTGATTATTAGCATCTTGAGAATTTGCATTTTGGGTGTAGTTAAAAGTTAGCTAAGCTGATACTGATGTATTAGGACACAAACTTCATGGTCATGTCAACTTATTGGATGATCTGTCAAATAACAGAGGCAGGGGAAGAGGTGGTTTCATGGGACGGCCACGAGGTGGTGGTGGTGGTATTGGTGGTGGCAGGGGAGGTCGTGGGAGAGGTCGAGGGCGTAATGAGAAGATATCAGCAGAGGATCTTGATGCTGAATTGGATAACTACCACAAAGAGGCCATGGAAACTGAAGGGGGAATCTAAAGCCCACTTCCAATTTGAGCAAAATGGTATTTGCATTCCCATGATATATGTGCCTTCGATGTAAACTGGGTTATGATCTTTTAGGGTTGAATTCCAATCTCATTTTGGCTTTGGTATTAGGGATATTTGAGGGTTGAGTTAGAGAAGAAAACATTTATGTGTGATTACCTTACACTTGTGATATGTCTAAAAATCTCTTATCGTGTATATATATATATATATGATTTGAAGCATGCCCAGTTACACAATACAGAAGAAGCTCACATCATAATACTTGAGTAATATTACTACATTAAGAGGCAAAATATAATATAAGTACTACCATTCATCAATGCCCTATCCAATTACTCCAGCGCAAGACTGGGTGAAGAAGATTCAGTGGCTTTAGTATACGTCCGGAGGCAAATTCCCAGGAAAAGAAGAGTGTGGTTGCGACCTTTGCAGATGGAGTTTCATGGCGTAGTTGCTAAGCTGCTCCACACAAATACATATATGTATATATATACATGGTCAAATGGAGGAATCTAATATTTTAAATCGAAGCATAGAAGAAGAGGTTCATCAATATACTAAGTTACCTCCAGCTTGTGCACTTGTTCTTGGTACTGTCCGATCACAACTTTCAAGTGTTTTAATTCTTTGGCCTTCTCTTCTTGTTCTGAGACACGTTCGTGTTGAATTGCGACGACCCTTTTCAAGATTTGGTTGTCGTTGATCAAGCTCTGCAGCCGCTCTTTCAAGGATGCGTATTCAAGCTGATAACACTAGTCTTTTCTCATCAGCGTCAATGCCAAAAAGAGACAGAATAAGGAGGGAGAAGAGACTCTGTATCGTTACCATTACCTCCTTTTCGGTTTTGGAGTTTTGAGATATCGTTCTCTCTAACGCTTGTAAGATCCCGGCAGCCCGTCTCTTTGCATCGTCGATGTTTGTAGCGTTTGCCATCTCGGAGACCAATAAATCAACCCATTTGGCTCCATCTGTCACATTCTTGTTATCAAAAGTAGGGGTCTTTCTCATCCCAGCTTCATGCTCTGGCATCTGACTACCTGTCCAAAACATTTGGGTCCAGGAGCTCAGTGTCCAGCCAGACAAAAAAAATGGTCAAGTTCATTTCTTCCCTTTTCTGCAACATACAAAAGTTTAGAGCCTGCTCCAAAGGTTATCCTTTTCCTTCGATAGATTCCTTGCGTTGCATCCAAGATGCAACAACAGCGCTGCTAAAACTAGAACTGGACGCTAAGAGAAATTTCAAGAATGTTAAAGAAGCAAAATCTTCGACGACCGTTAAACTTACATGTAGCTGTCTCCCCTCCACGCATTTCACCACAAATTCCTGCAGCTTCTGTATCGAAACTGCTCACATTTGTTTGATGATCCATGCCACCGCCGAAAGAAATCGTGCGTAAGCTCTCTTTCGCCTCTTCAAACTCGTTGTTCTTATTGTTCAGAACCTTCCTGACGAACTAAATGCAAATTCCGGGCACTCAGCAAGAACTCTAGAAGGTCTTTTCTCTAAATGTGAGCCAATACAAGCATTCGAGATGCTCAGGAAGGATCGTGAATTGAATTGAACTCCATAACATACAGAACCAATGACTAGTGTTTTCAAGTGTCGGATCTCAATGCGTTGTATTGGCTATGGATTATGCAGTTCTAGACAATGATCTTGGTCATATCAGCTTTATAACCCGATTGACATTATCAGAAGCTTGCATGACTTCATGTCATAGGGGTAGATTTATACACGCCATGGACGTGAAAATTGACGTAAGAAATTGAGAATTTTAAAGTTGAAAAATATATGGGGATGTAATTAAAACACACCTCAGGATCCATGGAGGGGAACATACGGATCAAAACCGAAACAGGGTCATCGGATCCAGACCCAAGTTCGGGTGACCGAACCGGCGACCCAAAACTCGAACACTTGGATCTCTTATTCGTCGGGGAAGATGACCCGAACAACTCCTCGAACCCGACCCGTTTACCGCAAACTCCAGCGGACATCTCTGCTCGGAGTGAGTCTGTTGATCTGAAATTCGATCTGCCGCCAAAATTCTCAAAGCAATTAGACAACTTCGCCGCTCGTACCAGAATTCGGGAGGGGAGAGAGAGAGATAGAGAGGAGTTTCTAGGGTTTTTTTGTGGAGAAGATGATAAGGAGACAAAGGCGAGGTGATGCGGTAAGAAATAAAGAATATCTATAAAAAATAATGAATTTACAAACAATAAAAGTGGCTGTAGTTTAGTGGTTAGAATTCCACGTTGTGGCCGTGGAGACCTGGGCTCGAATCCCAGCAGCCACATTTTTTAATTTTAAGTATGCGTGGGCTCCTCCATTTATGGGCTTTAATATTTTAATCGTAACTAGAGAGCCCAATTTAGCTTACACAAATGCTTTCCTATGAGTCATATTTGTAATTTTACAACAAATAAACCTTGATAATATTTTTTATTTACATATTACATATGTATGTACTACTTCAAAACTGTCAGCCCTTAAAAATTTAACAAATCTAATCCGGAATATTATTTTTATTTTTATTCGAAAAATAACCTTCAACTAATTCAACGAATATTTTATTCACGTTTAGTTGGGGAAGCACGTGCGAGGTGGCCAAAATTTGTCGCCGCACATGGGAGGAGCCACGTTCACATATACAAAAGGAGAAGCTTTTCTCATATGTGCTGAAGGTGACCCACGAACCAATGAAAACTCTCCAAAATGCCAACGTGTACAAACAAAATCCCCACCTCACCGCCCAATGGGACCCGTGTTTCTAAAAGAATGACGTGGCGAATAATAAGTCGACCATCATATGAACGTTGGAAGTTTAGAATCTTCAGATCTAAACGCGCTTTTGAATTAAAAAAAAATATTGACTTGCTTAGGACCGGGAAAAGTAATCGATCTATAACCGTTGGATCAAGTTTCAAAGATCGGACGGTCATTAGAGAGGTAGCGGAACATTCTCGAACCTTGAAGCCACGACTCTATATAATATTCTTTCCGCTTCTGCCTCTCCTGAAAGCCCTAGCCGCGCTTCCTCTCTGTCAGATTTTGTTTTCTTCCTCCTTTTCTTGGTAGCTTAGCTTCGTCGTTGAAAACAATGGCGGGTAAAGGTGAAGGTCCAGCCATCGGAATCGATCTCGGTACCACATACTCGTGTGTCGGAGTATGGCAACACGATCGTGTTGAGATCATTGCTAATGACCAAGGTAACAGGACGACGCCGTCGTATGTTGGGTTCACCGACACCGAGCGTCTGATCGGAGATGCCGCCAAGAACCAGGTCGCCATGAACCCGATCAACACAGTTTTCGGTATAAATGCCGTTTCCTTTGCTTTAATTTTGTGTTTACAGATGTTTTTGCGAGATCTCGTATAGCGATGTTTGATTGTGATTAGATCTATATGATCGTTGGCTGTTTTAGTGTATATAGAGTTGATTTTAGGGCTCTTCTTCCTTAAATCTGATTGGTTAGAGCGTGAGTTCTTCCCTTGGATTAATAGATTCATTGATTGCTTGTACGTCCGGTACCTGTGTTTTGACTTGGAATCTTTTAAGGCATTTAGATTTGTGGTCTTGGTGGGAAGATATCTGAGAACGTCTGAAGATATGTTTGATTCTGTAATTTGAGCTCTGTTTTTTTGTTTGGTGTCTGGTCTTAGTTCGGTTTTTAGACTCTTTAACTCAATGGCGTTTTCCATGTGACAGATGCCAAGAGATTGATTGGCCGTAGATTCAGCGACTCTTCGGTTCAGAGCGACATCAAGCTGTGGCCTTTTAAAGTTATTCCTGGTCCTGGTGACAAACCCATGATTGTTGTCAACTACAAGGGCGAAGAGAAGCAGTTTGCTGCCGAGGAGATCTCTTCCATGGTTCTCATCAAGATGCGTGAGATTGCCGAGGCCTACCTCGGGACCACCATTAAAAACGCTGTGGTCACTGTTCCTGCTTACTTCAACGACTCCCAGCGTCAAGCCACAAAGGACGCTGGTGTCATTGCTGGTTTGAACGTTATGCGTATCATTAACGAACCTACGGCGGCTGCTATTGCTTACGGTCTTGACAAGAAAGCTACCAGTGTCGGTGAGAAGAACGTCTTGATCTTTGATCTCGGTGGTGGTACCTTTGATGTCTCTCTTCTCACCATTGAAGAGGGTATCTTCGAGGTGAAAGCTACCGCCGGTGACACCCATCTTGGTGGTGAAGATTTTGACAACAGAATGGTCAACCACTTTGTCCAAGAGTTCAAGAGGAAGAACAAGAAAGACATCAGCGGCAACCCTAGAGCTCTCAGGAGGTTGAGAACTGCCTGTGAGAGAGCGAAGAGGACACTCTCGTCCACTGCTCAGACCACTATCGAGATCGACTCTTTGTACGAAGGCATCGACTTCTATTCAACCATCACCCGTGCTAGGTTCGAAGAGCTCAACATGGACCTCTTCAGGAAGTGCATGGAGCCGGTCGAGAAATGTCTCCGTGATGCCAAGATGGACAAGAGCACCGTCCACGATGCCGTCCTTGTCGGTGGATCCACCCGTATTCCCAAGGTTCA